TCTTGTGGTTGGTGACTCTCAGGTAAGATATATTGACCGTGCTTTTTGTAATAGGAATAAGAAGATGAGAGACAGAGTGTGCTTCCCTGGAGCTGGTGTTGGGGACATTGTCAACAGGCTGGATAATATCATGTCAGGTAATGGGAACAAGCCCATTATCTGTCTCAGTGCTGGTGGAAATGATATTGGGAAGGGTAGGAGAGAAGAGCTGCTAGATAAGTACAGGTCAGCTATAGATTTCATTAAGTCTAAGGGAGGGATCCCAATCATATGTAGCATCTTGCCTAGAAGGGGAGTAGGAAATGAATGGTTGTCTAGGGCAATTGGTGTAAATTGCTGGCTAGACAGATACTGCAAGGAACTTGCAATCCCATTTATTGACAACTGGAACAACTTTTATGGCAAACATGATATGTATGCAAGGGATGGGGTACATCTCTCTGGGGCTGGGGTGGTAGCACTTGCAGACTCGATTGAGAAGGCCATTGGTGAAATGCCTATGATTTTAAACTGATGGAAGATAGAGGTATGGGTGTGTGTGGGAAACAAGCAGGTTGCAACACTTGGGTTGGAAACAGTAAATGTATAAAAGGCATTCAGCATGAAGTTATAAATAAAGACAATAGATCAGGTCAGCAAACAAAGGGGGACAGCAGAGGGCAGCAAGGGACTAGCTCCCTTAAGGTTTACTATACTAATAGCAGGAGTGTAAGAAATAAGATAGATGAGCTAAGATTAATTGCAAGTGCAGGAAACATAGATATTATTGCTATAACAGAGACCTGGCTCAATCTGAAAGATAGAGAGATGCCCTCTGAATGTCACATACAAGGCTATAAATTATTCCACACTGACAGGGTCAACAGGAAAGGTGGTGGAGTAGCGATGTATGTCAGAGACAATTTAAATTGTTGTGTTAGACAAGATATTAAATTAGAAGCGTCAGCCACTGAATCTGTTTGGTTACAGCTTCTCGAGGGCCGAGAAAAACTAATTTTGGGCGTGATTTACAGGGCCCCAAATCTTGATAGGGAGAGCAGTAAACTTCTATGGGACGAAATTCGTAAGGCATCTACATACGAAAATGTTGTGCTAATGGGAGATTTCAACTATAGACAGATTGACTGGAGCAATTTGACAGGAAATTTAGAGTCAGGTGACTTTCTTGATACGATCCAGGATTGTTTTTTAAAACAGTTTGTGACAGAGCCAACTAGGGGAAATAACCTCCTTGACTTGGTTCTTGCCAGTAGGGAAACACTAATTAATAATCTTGAGGTTAATGATGAGCTTGGGGAAAGTGATCACAAATCACTCAGTTTTAATATATCATGGAATTCCCCTAATAATGGCAATCAAGTCTCCGTCCCTGACTTTCGCTTGGCTGATTTCATAGGACTGAAAAATTACTTAGGTGAGCTGAACTGGAATGACCTGACTAAGGGTCAGGTAGGTGGTGATGGTTGCCGATATGATGCTTTCCAGGGCATAGTTCTAGCTGCTCAGTCAAATTATGTTCCAAATAGGGAAATCAGATCAAACAAAAATGATCCTAAATGGTATGAACAATAGATTAAAATATCTGATTGGTCAAAAGAGAGGCATATATAGGCAAATCAAAAGAGGAGAGGGGCAATTGAGAAATCGATATATTCAGTTAAAGAGAGAAATAAAAAAGGGAATTAGAAAAGCAAAAGAGATTATGAGGTTAAAGTTGCAAGAGAATCGAAGACTAACCCAAAAGGATTCTTTCAGGTATACAGAAGTAAGATCAGGGACAAGATAGGCCCACTCAAAAGTTCCTCGGGTCAGCTCACTGACAGTGATAAGGAAATGTGTAGAATTTTTAACACATACTTCCTCTCAGTTTTTACACAGGAGGATACCAGCGATATTCCAGTAATGATAAATTATGTAGAACAGGACGATAATAAACTGTGCACTATTAGGGTCACAAGTGACATGGTCCTTAGGCAAATAGATAAATTAAAACCTAACAAATCCCCAGGCCCTGATGAACTGTATGCAAGGGTTCTAAAGGAATGTAAAGAGGAGCTTAGCACACCTTTGGCTAATCTTTTCAACATATCACTACAAACTGGCATGGTGCCAGATAAGTGGAAAATGGCAAATGTGATACCTATTTTCAAAAACAGGTGACAGGTCCTTAGCTTCGAACTATAGACCAATAAGCCTAACCTCCATAGTGGGAAAAATTTATGGAATCAATAATTGCCGAGGCAGTTCGTAGCCACCTTGAAAAGCATAAATTATTCAACGAATCTCAGCATGGTTTTACAAAGGGGCGTTCCTGCCTTACGAATTTATTAACTTTTTTCACTAAGGTATTTGAGGAGGTAGATCATGGTAATGAATATGATATTGTGTATATGGACTTCAGTAAGGCTTTTGACAGGGTCCCACATCAGAGACTATTGAGGAAAATTAAAGCACATGGAATAGGAGGAGAAATTTTTTCCTGGATAGAGGCATGGTTGACAAATAGGCAGCAGAGAGTTTGCATAAATGGGGAGAAATCAGAGTGGGGAAGTGTCACGAGCGGTGTTCCACAGGGGTCAGTGTTGGGCCCCCTGCTGTTCACAATCTACATAAACGACATAGATGAGGGCATAAAGAGCGACATCGGCAAGTTTGCCGATGACACCAAAATAGGCCGTCGAATTCATTCTGACGAGGACATTCGAGCACTCCAGGAAGATTTGAATAGACTGATGCAGTGGTCGGAGAAGTGGCAGATGCAGTTTAATATAGACAAATGCAAAGTTCTAAATGTTGGACAGGACAATAACCATGCCACATATAAACTAAATAATGTAGATCTTAATATTACGGATTGCGAAAAAGATTTAGGGGTTCTGGTTAGCAGTAATCTGAAACCAAGACAACAGTGCATAAGTGTTCGCAATAAAGCTAATAGAATCCTTGGCTTCATATCAAGAAGCATAAATAATAGGAGTCCTCAGGTTGTTCTTCAACTCTATACATCCTTGGTTAGGCCTCATTTAGATTATGCTGCACAGTTTTGGTCACCGTATTACAGAATGGATATAAATTCTCTGGAAAATGTACAAAGGAGGATGACAAAGTTGATCCCATGTATCAGAAACCTTCCCCTATGGGATAGACTAAGGGCCCTGAAACTGCACTCTCTAGAAAGACGTAGAATTAGGGGGATATGATTGAGGTGTATAAATGGAAGACAGGAATAAATAAAGGGGATGTAAATAGTGTGCTGAAAATATCTAGCCTAGACAGGACTCGCAGCAATGGTTTTTAAGTTGGAAAAATTCAGATTCAGGAAGGATATAGGAAAGTACTGGTTTGGTAATAGAGTTGTGGATGAGTGGAACAAACTCCCAAGTACCGTTATAGAGGCCAGAACGTTGTGTAGCTTTAAAAATAGGTTGGATAAATACATGAGTAGATGTGGGTGGGTGTGAGTTAGACCTGATAGCTTGTGCTACCAGGTCGGTTGCCGTGTTCCTCCCTTAAGTCAATGTGACCTGACCTGACTAGGTTGGGTGCATTGGCTTAAGCCGGTAGGAGACTTGGACCTGCCTCGCATGGGCCAGTAGGCCTTCTGCAGTGTTCCTTCGTTCTTATGTTCTTATGTTCTTATAAAATACAAATGCCGCACTTGGGTAGTTTTATTACAAAGTGCCGGAAATGTGTTTCATGCATCAACTCAAGAATAAAGATTCCCAAGTGTTGCAGATTTGTTATCCTCTGGTGCTTGAGAGAGAGTTTCACATCTGTTCTTCATGACATAGTTATTCTTGATCATTGGTGCTCACACAGGTCTTTACACCTGTTTACTTACATAATTACAACTGTAGTCACACAGCTGTACCCGTTTGTTTTCACCTAATTACACCTGTTCAATCGCATAATTACACCTGATTACTCGTACAGTTTCACATATTCGCTCACGCAATTACATCCGGTAACTCGCTCAATTACACCCCTTCAATAAAATAAATATACCTGTTCACTCACTTAATTACACCTATCTCGCCATAATTGCACATGTTCGCTCGCTTAAATACCCTTATTATTCACTTAAACAACCACACTTGTTTACCCACATATCTACTACACGTTTAACTCATATGGGACAACTCGGACACCTTTAAACGGACTTAAATCCCTTATCATTTTTTCTTTTGTTTATCGTACAATGTCATCCAAATTTTTTTTCTTTTCTTAGATTCCGAGTATATTTTTTTCGTTTATCGTTCCATTTCAACCAAATTTTTTGGCTAGATTCGGAGTATATGAAAAAAAAATCCTAGAAATAAAGTCTCCCAAGTGTCAACTCCAGTCAAAATTTACAGTCTGTTAATTACCTTCATCAGCATGGCATTTTCCAGGAGGTAAAAAGGAGTGTCGGTGGAACCAAAGTGGAGTGTTTGTCTCTCATTAGAGAGGCGACTCACTCACGGTAAAGTGCGTTTGTTAGTCCTGAGGCTCTAGTTCTCAGCGTCTTGCCTCCTCTCTTGTGTACTAACAAATGTGCTTAGTGTTGTGCGGGATAATTTGTGCTTGTAGGTTACCACTTGCTTCCTTTGTATCTCTGTTTTATTATTCTTTGTGTTGGCTTTCTCCTTTTTCCTTCTTTGGTTTACGTTAGTTCTCTCTCTCTCTCTCTCTCTCTCTCTCTCTCTCTCTCTCTCTCTCTCTCCTCTCTCTCTCTCTCTCTCTCTCTCTCTCTCTCTCTCTCTCTCTCTCTCTCTCTCTCTCTCTCTCTCTCTTTTTTTTTCACAGGGTTTGACAAGGTTAAGGATCCCTAACTTTATTGACAAGCTATTTACAGGTTAAGGATTCCTAACTTTATTGGCAAGCTAAGAGCTGTTACCTACATCAGCTTATTTGAAAGCATTTTTATTGTTATGAGACATACAAGTAGGGAACAGGATGAAGTTGGAGCCATCTGTGGGCCAGCATTTTCATTTGATCAACTGACTTTATCGCGTTGACATCATTATGCTGTACAAATGTGTTCTATACTCGAGTCATCCTGGGTATGTATGATCTCAAATGGAGTGATGTTCTGGAGAAGGGTACAGCCAGAGTGAAGTTGCTGCTTTCTGCCCGTCTTGTGGCATAAAAGCTTGTTTCACGCTGTCCTCGAAGTGGATCCAAGTGTGGTATTTTGACAATATTGGCCTTGTACATAACAGTAAGGCCACCCACATCCCTCCTATGTTGAAGGCTCTGCTGAAATGACAGATCTATCCAGGATGGGTCCAGGCGAGAGATGAGACGTGTTGCTCTGTTCTCTACTCTGTCAAGCAGTCGCAGATGAGAGGGGGGGCAGGAAAACCAAGAAAGTGGAGCATACTCAAGGTGTGAGGGTACTTGTGCCTCGTACAGGATCTTGCAACCCCTACTGTCAAGCAGATGCGAGATACGGCGAAGTGCTGTAAGCTTCCGGGCTGCCTTGTTTGCAAGATTTACAACATGGTTCTTCATGGTTAGTTTGGAGTCAAATTTCACCCCAAGGATATCAACTTCTTCTCCAGGTGCCAACACCCTCCCATTCATCCTTACTACTGCCCCAGCATTACCATCGTGGTGCCTAGAGACGATCATCATTTGCGTTTTCTCAGGTGCAAATGTTACTTCCCATCTATTTCCCCAAGCTGATACAGCTCTCAGCTGGTGATTGATGTAGCTTAGAGCAGCTGGCATTTCTTCTCTTGGATAAGTGAATGTCAGTGTACAGTCGTCTGCATATGCATATGATTCTGGGATGAGATGAAGAAGGTCGTTGAAGTAGACATTCCATAACAATGGACCCAGCACGCTTCCTTGTGGAACACTTGCCCCAATAGGATGTCTTGCTGATTCCGTTCCATTGAGAACTACACTTAGAGATCTACCATGAAGGTAATCACTGAGGAGACATAGCGTAGAGCCTTCAATTCCCAGTGCTTGAAGTTTTGCTAAGAGGCCCTGGTGCCACACCCGGTCGAAAGCGCCAGCAATGTCCAGTGCTACCACACAGCTGACTTTGGATTCATCCAGTGACTGGTGCCACTTAGTGGAGAGGTTTAACAACAGATCAGCAGCAGAGTAACCTTTCCTGAAGCCATATTGACGATCACAAAGTAGTGAGTGGTAGTCAAAAAACTCTGTCATTTGTCTTGAGATTATTGTCTCAAGGATCTTACCAGTGATTGTCAAGAGTGACACTGGTCTGTAGTTGCTGATTTCTGCTCTGCTCTTCTTTTTGTGAACAGGGACTACATTTGCCTCTTTCCATAGAGAGGGCCATTTACACTGTACTAGGCAGTGCTGAAAGATGCGAGTTAGAGGTGCTGCTAGCTGGTCCGCACATCTTCTCAACAATCTTGGGCTCAACTTGTCTGGGCCCACATCCTTTTCTTGGTCCAGCGATTTAAGAAGGAAATGCACCTCCTCCTGCCTTATTGTCACCACTGACAGTTTTGACACAGTTCTTGCAGCTAGCCAAGGAGGGACCCTTGCTGGATCAGGAACTTGCATTTTGGTAGCAAAGTGTTCAGCAAAAAGGTCCGCCTTCTCTTGACTACTAGTAGAGGTGGTCCCATCCTGTCGATTTAGAGGTGGAATAAGTTCATCAGGCAGATAACCTTGTCTGTCCTTGACCAGGGACCACCAGGTTTTGGAGCCTACCCTACCTGATGCAAGCTTTCTTTTAGTGTCCACCTCCCATTTAGCAATGGCCCACTTTTGAACATCACCCATATGCCTACAGGCTTGCCTGTGCAAGTTCCTGTTATAGGTGGTAGGATGTCTCTTATACCTTCGCCATGCTTTGTACTTAGCAGTATCAGCCTCTCTACAACGAAAGCCAAACCAAGGCTGATCTGTAGGCTTCGTCACATATTGCCGGTGAGGAATGTGTTCTTGTTGTAGATTAAGGATGTGTCCAGTGAAGGCTTTTCACTTGGTTGTCAACATCCCCTTGGAGAAGAGCATTCCAATCGGTTGGTGGCGAGCTCAGAGCAAAGGGCTGGCCAATTACCTCTTCCCATAGCCAGGTTTGGGGCGTGTGGACTCCTCACCTCGTTCTGTTGGGATCTTAAGTGTCGTAAAAACAGCCTTGTGGTCAGACGATCCAACGTAGCCGAAGAGTTGACAAGTGACTATGCCTTCTGCCAAATCACTCACTACTGGGTCAAGGGAGGAGCCAGAGATATGAGTAGGGAAATCAACAAAGTTTCCATGTCAAACACTGCAAGAAGGTCATCAAAGTCCCTCTGTATAAGGTGCTGGTTGAGGTCACCAACAATGATAATATGTTGACAGTTGTGTTGTAGCAGAAGGGAGTCAATATTTTCCATTAGGAAGTTGATGGGGGTCTGCATGTTGCCACTGAGGTCTCTCTCTCTCTCTCTCTCTCTCTCTCTCTCTCTCTCTCTCTCTCTCTCTCTCTCACGCTAAGGTAATTTTATTAATTTCCGTACTTTGATGAGGTACCTCCAACGAGAGTCTGAGAATTATTTTTCCTGTTATCCGTTTCTCCCTGTCTCCGCCAGATGTTGCATCACTGCAGCAGGCCTACTGGCCCATGCTAGGCGGGGCTAATTCACACCCACCTACACCCAGTCCAGTACCTTTCCAACCTATTTTTTTTAAACACTTTTATGACAATGCTTTCATGTACGGTGATTTTAACCAAAAAATGAATGAAATAGGACGACAAGTAAGGTAAAAATAATCGTGGTTTATTTCCCCTTATAGTTATCTTGCTTCCTTGGTGTTTCTAGGGAGTATGTTCCACTCATCCATAACAATGTTGACAAATCAGGGATAAGTGTCTCCTTGTCTCCTTCAGGAGCTCCACCATCCCTACACTGTCTTTCTGTTTCCCTCAGGCGCTGCACCATCCCTACATCTACCCGGTGTTGGACGTGGACTTCGCCAACATCTCGTCTTGCACCTACGTTATTACTGTGATTCCCCACAACAACAAGGGTACTCTCAAGGACCTCATATACAGAGTGAGTATTTTGATGTTTGACTACTGGAGGAAATAATAGCTAAAACTGAGTATACTACAAAGTCTAATCAAACAATAGAGCGGAAAAGTAATGTGAAGGACCTGGGAGTGGTAATGTCTGAGAATCCCATCTACAGGGTTCACAATAATGCTACTATCACATCTACGAGGTAACTGATAGGATGAATAATGAGAACATTCAAGACATGAAATGCCAAGCCAGTGATGATCATTTTAAATCACTTGTTTTCTCTAGGCTGGAACACTGCTGTACATTAACATCTCCAGTCAAGGCAGGTGAAATCGCAGATCTAGAGAATGTACAGAGAACTTTTACTGCACATGTCAGTTCCCAGAAAGCACCTTAACTACTGGGAACGCTTGGAAGCACTTGACTGGTACTCACTGGAGCGCAAGCGAGAGAGATACATCACAATCTACACCTGGAAGCTCCTGGAGTAACTGGTCCTTAATTTGCACACAGAAATCACTCCCTACGAAAGCAAAAGACTTGGCAGGTGATGCAGCATAGGCCCAGTGAAAAGCAGGGGCGCCATTAGTACACTAAGAGAAAATACAGTAGGTGTCCGGGGCCCAAGATTGTTCAACAGCCTCCCTCCAGCCATAAGAAGAATTTCCAATAGATCCCTGGTTGTCTTCAAAAGGGAGCTGGACAGATACCTAATTCAGTGCCGGATCAGCCGGGCTGTGGTTCGTACGTTGGACTACGTGCGGCCAGCGGTAACAGCCTCGTTGAACAGGCCCTGATCCACCAGGAGTCCTGGTCATGGATCGGGCCGCGGGGGCGTTGATCCTCGGAATACCCTACAGGTAGACCCCAAGTAGGTAGACCTGTTGAAGGGTCTGGGAATCATTGTTTCCCAGGACCAGTCCCACTTTCTTGTTGTTAGCCAGATTAATCAGCCTATTATGTGTTAGTAGCACACAGTCCACCGTAAGCTCCATAGCCTGCGTGATCAGGGACCATCAGGAGGAACCGGTCAAGTTTCCCCTTTAAAGAGAGTTATGGATCTGTTGGTTATAATTTTCCCCTTGTGGATACGATAGTCAGATATGCACAACTAACTCATATATTGTAATTGAAAACTGGACGACGTTTTGGTTCCTCTTCGACCATTCATCGACTCACGACTTGACAATATACCAGGGCGAACTGAAAAGTTCAATTTTCCTTACCAGTTTTCGGGTTAGCTGCGATAAAGTGTTTCCTTGTCGTATTTCATCACAAAGGAAGGGCTGCACACATAAAGTAATGAAATACATCAGCCCGAGATGGGAGACTTCAGTAGTACGATAGGGATTTCGTCAAGCATTGCAGTATGGATTAAGTACCTACTGAAGCTTCGAAGGTTTCCGTCCGGCAGTGCTGGAATTACCTTTACTTAGATTGTCATACCCACACTGAGTACCTTCTGCCAAACATGTTTACACACATACATCCAATCCATCCATCCCAGGCCTGTATAATATTTACCTACAATGCGTTTTCAGAGTCACTGGCAAGACGACTGGAGTGAGAAATACCAGCAGAGGTCAGCAGGTCTGCCAGTGGGGCAGGTTCAGCGGCTTGGACGGCAGGTGTTGGAGGCACTGCTCTTCCTCCAGGACCGAGGCTTCCCTCCCTGTGGACACCTTCACTCCGGCAATGTGGTCCTCCAGAACGGCGTCGCCAGGTACGTTTCTCAGGAGGATCGTCCTTTCCTCAGGAGTGTTTCTCTGTAACGCAGTGGGCGGTGCCGTCATATATACTGCTACAAAAGAATTTCCCCAGTGGTGGAAAAAATTGGAATTTCTCCCTGCCTTGCTTACGGTGTCAGTAATCCTTGTGGTCGGTAGGATAATATTTGTCAATTTGGTCAAAAAATTAAATATATTTACGAATTGTTAAGAGAGAGAAAGAGAGAGAGAGAGAGAGAGAGAGAGAGAGAGAGAGAGAGAGAGAGAGAGAGAGAGAGAGAGAGAGAGAGAGAGAGAGAGAGAGATTTAAAATACATATAGGCAGACCGACACCTGTTCCATATGCTTCTGAAATTTGAATCTAATTATCTCCGTCTTTACATTTATTCATTCCTATGAGTCTCTCTCTCGCCGTTTGCCTTTTTATATTTTAGCCACGCAAGAAGATAATACACGACAGTTCTTAATCTAGGTAGAAGTAGATAGTTATTCTCAGCTGACGGCCTTGATACAGATTTCCAAGCACTCTTCTATCTACATTTCCCATACACTACCTCTCTCCTTTTCTCCCGCTAACGACCCCTCTTGCTCCATGTCTTCCTCAGTAACTTGTACTTGTCTTCTTCAACAGACTCTCAGGCGTGGAGAACACACTCCTGGGACTCACCTCCAGGATTTACCCCATTATCAAGAGACGTCTCAGGGACAATAGGGACGCTATCGACTCCGTCTGCTTCGGTAAGTCTACCACCACTAGAATCTTCCCTCGCCTCTGCTTTCTATACACCTGATATCGACATACAGGCGAGTACGAATAGGGAGCGCGTGTGTTCTCGTGCTCAGCAAACGGAGGATGAAGCCTCCACCACGTCTTGCGCTGAATGACCCATATGGGCTTAGCTCGTAACATGAATTAAACGAACAAAATATGCCTCTGATGAGGCTACCAAAATTGTGTTAAAGATAATATGGCCAAAACAAAGTTATTGTAACTGTCATTTTTTTCTAGGAACGAAGAAAACGAGGTCGCAGATCAAGTTTCTGTTGGAACAACGTTTCCTTGTTTAGAGTTTTCATAAACGACTCGATAAAGCTCTATACAGACCGTAACGTTTTCTCAACGAAACCTTGCTCTGCAACCTGATTGTTTCCTCGTACATGGGAAAAGTAGATACTTCCATTAACTTTGTTGAGACTGTGTGATGTTTATCAAGAATCTGCTAGCTTTATAAGGCGTATGTTAGGTGTTGGGGTCAATGATGATGTGTCATGAAGTGTGGCAGCATTGATCTGGGCAGTATTTATAGCTCGAAATACCGAGCATATCCCCATTCTACGACGGCAGGTGGTAATGTGATAGAAAGCATTTATTCACGGAGGTACTACTATCCTGTCAAATGAATGTGAAATAGAATTCTGTTAAAAGATTTTCACTCTTGCAGGACTGCTAGTATTTTTGTGGTGTTATGAGCCCGTAAAATGACAGGAAAATCTTGTAGGCTTCTACTTACATTCAGTATTCATATACATTTAGTATATTATGTACTCCAACCCGAGGAGGCCTGATCCGGGGAACATAATCCCCGGAACAGTTACCAGACACAGATAACTTTCTTTTATACCTCTCTACACATACAAGTCTTCCCACAATCCTCTTCACACACCGCTCTTCACATGCTCTCTCACGCTTTCTTTCGTTATCTCCTTCTTTTCGTCTTAACTCCCCCCTTCTGTGTCCCTAACTTTCCTCTACTGTCCCTCCACTCTCACACTCTTTCTCTTGATCTAAGGAACTGTAGTTATCCTCTTATTAGATTTAACTTGATTATCTCATATTTCCAAATAATAATAATAATAATAATAATAAATAATAATAATAATAAGAAGAAGAAGAAGAAGAAGAAGAAGAAGAAGAAGAAGAAGAAGAAGAAGAAGAAGAAGAAGAAGAAGAAGAAGAAGAAGAATTGAATGGATTCTCTCGTACCTTACATGGAACTTAATTACCTCCCATTCTCCAACAGCTTCATGTTATCCTTGTGGATTTGGAACTGTCCCGTGAAAATTGCAATGATTATGTGTTTCATAACTTCTGTTCATTTACCCATGTGCTTATCTATGGCAGGTCACGTGATATTCGAGATGTGTGCAGGGTACGAGCTGTCCTCTGCCCACCCGACGCCCAAACACCTGGAAGACCTCTCAACCTACCCTCAGGTAAGTCGCTTTTACTGTCTTCCCACATAAATTAATTCTTTTCTTTGCCTTGATATATGCAAAACAACCACTCTGAAAGAATAGAGAAATTCCAAGCGCTTTCGTGACTACTCACATTATCAAGGAACTATGATAATGTGAGTAGTCACGAAAGCGCTTGGAATTTCTCTATTCTTTCAGAGTGGTTGTTTTGCATATTCTGAAATCACCTTTTACTGTGATCTTATTGCATATATATATATATATATATATATATATATATATAATATATATATATATATATATATATATATATATATAAAATATATATATATATATATATATAAATATATATATAATATATATATATATATATATATATATATATATATATATATTTTATATATATATATGGAGATTGAGAACACTTATGCAGCATATGGGAATCTTTATTCAGGAAACGTTTCGCCACACAGTGGCTTCATCAGTCCAATACAAAGAGGAAGGCGTAAGGAGAGGAGGAGTATGAGGTAATCAGTCCCTCAGCCTGGAGTCGATGTGTTCAGTCCATCAATCTTGTAGAATGTACAGCATAGGGCCGTAGACGTGGCTTATATACTGTAGTGAGGTGACTTGAAGCAGACGGAGGCGGGATCATAGTGGTACCATCCACTAGTCGAAGTAGGTCTTTGTCCAAAGGTTGGACAAGCGTTGAAGAATTCTTTGTAAGAAGATCCCATGATGCTGCCGTGTCTGACAGTTGTGATGAATGGTTTGAAAAACCGACAAGTTGAAGATTGAGACACTTATGCAGCATATGGGAATCTTTATTCAGGAAACGTTTCGCCACACAGTGGCTTCATCAGTCCAATACAAAGAGGAAGGCGTAAGGAGAGGAGTATGAGGTAATCAGTCCCTCAGCCTGGAGTCGATGTGTTCAGTCCATCAATCTTGTAGAATGTACAGCATAGGGCCGTAGACGTGGCTTATATACTGTAGTGAGGTGACTTGAAGCAGACGGAGGCGGGATCATAGTGGTACCATCCACTAGTCGAAGTAGGTCTTTGTCCAAAGGTTGGACAAGCGTTGAAGAATTCTTTGTAAGAAGATCCCATGATGCTGCCGTGTCTGACAGTTGTGATGAATGGTTTGAAAAACCGACAAGTTGAAGATTGAGACACTTATGCAGCATATGGGAATCTTTATTCAGGAAACGTTTCGCCACACAGTGGCTTCATCAGTCCAATACAAAGAGGAAGGCGTAAGGAGAGGAGGAGTATGAGGTAATCAGTCCCTCAGCCTGGAGTCGATGTGTTCAGTCCATCAATCTTGTAGAATGTACAGCATACGGCCGTAGACGTGGCTTATATACTGTAGTGAGGTGACTTGAAGCAGACGGAGGCGGGATCATAGTGGTACCATCCACTAGTCGAAAGTAGGTCTTTGTCCAAAGGTTTTGGACAAGCGTTGAAGAATTCTTTGTAAGAAGATCCCATGATGCTGCCGTGTCTGACAGTTGTGATGAATGGTTTGAAAAACCGACAAGTTGAAGATTGAGACACTTATGCAGCATATGGGAATCTTTATTCAGGAAACGTTTCGCCACACAGTGGCTTCATCAGTCCAATACAAAGAGGAAGGCGTAAGGAGAGGAGGAGTATGAGGTAATCAGTCCCTCAGCCTGGAGTCGATGTGTTCAGTCCATCAATCTTGTAGAATGTACAGCATAGGGCCGTAGACGTGGCTTATATACTGTAGTGAGGTGACTTGAAGCAGACGGAGGCGGGATCATAGTAGTACCATCCACTAGGACAAAGACCTACTTCGACTAGTGGATGGTACCACTATGATCCCGCCTCCGTCTGCTTCAAGTCACCTCACTACAGTATATAAGCCACGTCTACGGCCCTATGCTGTACATTCTACAAGATTGATGGACTGAACACATCGACTCCAGGCTGAGGGACTGATTACCTCATACTCCTCCTCTCCTTACGCCTTCCTCTTTGTATTGGACTGATGAAGCCACTGTGTGGCGAAACGTTTCCTGAATAAAGATTCCCATATGCTGCATAAGTGTCTCAATCTTCAACTTGTCGGTTTTTCAAACCATTCATCACAACTGTCAGACACGGCAGCATCATGGGATCTTCTTACAAAGAATTCTTCAACGCTTGTCCAACCTTTGGACAAAGACCTACTTCGACTAGTGGATGGTACCACTATGATCCCGCCTCCGTCTGCTTCAAGTCACCTCACTACAGTATATAAGCCACGTCTACGGCCCTATGCTGTACATTCTACAAGATTGATGGACTGAACACATCGACTCCAGGCTGAGGGACTGATTACCTCATACTCCTCCTCTCCTTACGCCTTCCTCTTTGTATTGGACTGATGAAGCCACTGTGTGGCGAAACGTTTCCTGAATAAAGATTCCCATATGCTGCATAAGTGTCTCAATCTTCAACTTGTCGGTTTTCAAACCATTCATCACATATAAATATACATATATATATATATATATATATATATATATTATATATATATATATATATATATATATATATATATATATAATCTTTGGTTCTGAAACATTTATCTTCATTAAGTTTAATACGAAATGGGTTCGCTCTTCACAGAGGTACAGTAATAAATTTAATATTTTTGTAATTCAGTATCATATGGCAGTAGATTAAGTTACTGATCTGCTTGACTTACTTGCGATTTGCCTGTATGATATCGTGGGTTTTTCTGCTCCGGAAAACTCGCTTATGACCAGGATTTCCGGGTCTCCACCAACATCAAGAGCCTCGAAGGCAGTAAAGCTGTCCTTTATTTTTCCATAGGGAATGCGGGTGCTAGAGTATATCATAATTAGCCGCGGTATTCGTTACTAACTCACTAATTGGAGACCTTAGCATGACCTTTAAAATAAATCCTCTAAGGATTTCCGTTTAATTTGTGGGTTGACTGTTAATTGTGCCAGCCAGTTTATTGATGGTTAGTTGTCGGTTATTCCAGTTAGAGTAATAAGGGTTAGTTGTTAATTGCTCCAGCCACAGTGATAAAGGCTATCTGTGAATTGTTTCAGCTATGGCTCCGAGTCACCATATCAAGGGTTAATTGTGAATTGTTCCAACTATGGAACTGTGACTTTTAACTGGTCTCATTATTCTTCCCACAGGTGGTACAGGTGCTGGAATACATATTTGGTAATGGGGACCAGTACCCGAGTGTGGAGGAGATCCTTTGTCTGGACTTCTTCAGAAATCTAGACTTAAGGGAAATGAGAGCTGCTCCTCTTCCAGTAGGTTATCAGCCACAGAGAATTATATTTTCTGCAAATCAGTCATAATTATAATCTATAATTAATCTTTACACTAGTACTTCAATGTTTCTAGTGTTGGCAAGTCCCTTTATATATATATATATATATATATATATTAATATATATATATATATATATATATATATATATATATATATATATATATATATATATATATATATATATATATATATATCAATGAAACCATGAGACAAGTGGTTTTGAATCATTTACCAAACTGCGGCAGGCCAGGATTCGACCCCACAACACATTGTCCCGCCTCAAGAGACCACACAATGTACATGTCACCTGATTCACTCAGCCATCAATCCTACAAACAAGTTGAGCGTACCACTACCAATAGTGTCCTCGCAACATGAAACAAGCCTAGTTCGCGAGGCTCATGTTGTTTGTATGATTGATGACTGAGTGGATAAGATGACATGTTTTGTGTGGTCTCTTGAGGCGAGACACTGTGTCGTGGGGTCGAATCCTGGCCTGCCGCAATTTGGTAAAAATATATATACGTCGTACCGAATAGGTAAAATTGGTCAATTAGCAAGAACTCATTTAAAATTAAGTCTTTCCCAAAATTTTCTCTTATACGTTCAAAGATATGTTTTTTTCATTTATGTTTATGTAAAAATTAATATTTTTGTACCAAAAGAACCTTAGAAAACTTACCTAACATTATTATAACAAGTGCAATTTAATTTAACCTAATCCAACTAAATATATTTTAGGTAAGTTTACAATAATTTAAAAATAAACAAACACAATCAAATATATTTTTTTGTTAGGTTCAGAATGATTTTTGCGAAATTATTGCATACACAAATTTTCGCTTGCCTTATTCGCCAAGATGAGCATTGCTATTTAAGCCAAAATCGCAAGTTTTACCTATGTGGCACGATATACACACACACACACACACACACACACACACACACACACACACACACACACACACACACACAATATATATATATATATATATATATATATATATATATATATATATATAATATATACATATATATATATATATATATATATATATTATATATATATATATATATATAATATATACATTTTATATATATATATATATATATATATATAATATATATATATATATATATATATATATATATATATATATGTCGTGCCGAATAGGCAGAACTTGCGATCTTGGCTTAAATAGCAACGCTCATCTTGCCATATAGGACAAGTGAAAATTTGTGTATGCAATAATTTCGCCAAAATCATTCTGAACCTAACGAAAAAAAATATATTTCACTGTGTTTGTTTAGTATTAAATTATTGTAAACAAATTTAAAATATATTTAGTTGGGTTAGGCTAAAATAAATTGTTCTTGTTTTAATAAGGTTAGGTAAGTTTTCTAAGATTCTTTTGGTGCAAAATTAAAAATTTTTACATCTCACATTAATGAAAAAAATATATCTTTAAACGTATAAGAGAAAATTTTAGAAAGGACTTAATTTTAAATGAGTTCTTGCTAATTGACCAGTTTTACATATTCGGCACGACATATATATATATATATATATATATATATATATATATATATATATATATATATATATATATATATATATATATATATATATATATATATATATATGCTGGGTTTGGTTTATATTATATAGTTGTAGTTTATAGTGGGCTGTCTGATCGCCCATTGCAATTACTGCCTTTTGTAAACAAATGTATTAGTTATATATGTGCATGCAATTTATGTCTTGTATTGTTATTGCTTAAATATTTTTTTTCAGAGCAGTATATATTTTGTATCACGGATTAGTAAATGTTATATACCACTGCCGTAATGTCTTCGTCAGTTTCGGGAAACATTCATGACTAATATTAAGTTAACTCAAAATTTTATGATTGATGCAACAGCACAAATAATTTGCAGGCTAAATTATTGATGCTCACTACCAATTAAGATCATTTGTAGCACGTAAACCTATATGGTTAATTTCGTAATGTGGTTTACTAATGTAATAATTCTTCAAGTTTGTTTCTCTGGGAATAATCTGTGAATCTTGATCTATAACATAGCATTACAAAAATTTATTTCCTGATAGCTTTGTTACAATTCATATTTTAGCTATAATGGTATAAATACTGGGTTCTTCCTCTAAGTTGAAAATTGATGCTGTGGTTCATGTTGTTATTATAAGCAGAGTTCTCATCCCGTAATGCACCTTCCCTTGGGGTCATGGAAGCCCTTATCTGAGTTTGCTGTCCTTAGGGTAATGAGAATTCTTCCCTAATGGTACTAGGTAGTGCAAGTCAAGTATTCAGAGAGAATCAAAAGCATGTTAGTATTTTCATCGCTGATATTATGCATGAAAGATGTATGATGCATTCATTATATACTGAAGTGTCTTAGTTAATCCCTATTATGGTCGAGATGTAAAGATACCCTTTTCTTCCTCACGTAGTTTAAATAGTGTATGTTTTGATGTGCAGAGAAATCCCTTTATTCTGGTGCCATTTTTGGTTGTGGTGAAAGCACTTTGAGTGTAAACAAAAGAATTTTGAAGAAAAGACATGTTGCAGAAAGTTTTGGGACAACGTTTTGCTTTACCCAGACCTGATAAAGCTCTACAAAGTGTGGAACGCTGTCGTAATAAAAAAAACTCATCTGCAACTAGTGTCTTTTCTTAAATATTGTCTTCAGTACGTTACTTACAGCCCACAAAATTTACACTGGTAATTCTGCAAAGCATCACAAACATCCCTTCAAAACACGCATGAACTATAGTGTAAAAAATTTCACTTTTATATGGTCATAATACTAACTTCCTGTCCCTTTCGAGGAGCGTTTCCGAATCAGCTTAACCTATTCCTTGACCCTTGACTACTGGTTTTATATTAATTTTTAAAGGGAAATCATTTTAAGCCCTCAGCATATGTTATAAAAATTACCTAAAATTCCTCACCTCTCTAGTAATATGCTTGTATATCCTCATCCCATATTTGTTATATTCCTCTTGTTATCATTTTTTCTTAGTGCTGGACCCACTGTGTGTGTGTGCTGTGTGTGTGTGTGTGTGTGTGTGTGTGTGTGTGTGTGTGTGTGTGTGTGTGTGTGTGTGTGTGTGTGTGTGTGTGTGAAACCCATAGTCTCCTAGCCCATCATTCACTTTCATCCTTCACTGCTGCTATTTGGTGTTGCTCTTTTGTAAAGTTATTCAATCTTATCTTTTCTTAAAGCTCACAGTGGCTCTCATGGTAATGTCCATTTCTTATTTATGTAGACGTTTTCACTCTTAAATAATGTTTCAGTTATTCTCAAAAACTTCATTTTTGTTTCATGACAAATACATTTGATTCAACATTTCTTTGAAACCTGTGGCTACTTTTGATTATTCGCTTCAGTCATATATACATAAGTTAATTTTAATCAGCAGAAACCTTTACCTGTCCTTCTCTCCTCCTTCATCCATCCTCCTTTGATTAACACTGAGGTGAGTGTTTATGTGTTTGTGTTGTTTTTAATACTGATTAAGTGTTATGCTTCCTCATACTGGTAGTAATTTTGTAAATAAAACTTACAGAGTACATAGATAATGAGGCTGAAGGGTATACCACATGTATACAAGAAACCAAGAATGAAAATTAGGCTTTATACAGCCTCGTTTCTAGTGCTATTTTCGTGTGTACATGCGGGATACCTTTAGCAATGTCCTCATTACACTTATCATTATCACTAATAGCAATGTTGGCAATAATTAAGTGTATTTGTAAAATTTTTGCTCTCTTAACATTATTAATATACTGTATAAGTTGAGATAATTGACATGTATTGAATCCCAGTGGCTTGTATATAGAATACCTGCCATTATGTATCGGCATTTGCATAATAAATTCGAGATGGTTGTTTATACAGCGCTTGCCATGATGTATCAGCGCTTATCCATTGAATCCTAGGTAATGCATTCATACATGTTGCAGATGAAAACTTAATGAGGATATTGCACTAAACTTGTAAAGAAATAGTTGAGATAAAATTATATGCTATTACCCTAGTGGTTAATATAAAATACATAATGCACAGCAAATATGTCTCGTCGATATTTCGCTCAGTATAAAGCCTTATTAAGTCTTAATATGGTTCATTCTTGAACGAAACGTGAGGTGACAGTCAGGCAAAAATCACACGTCAGACACTTTGAAACGAAAAAAAATAGATTCAGAGCAAGCTATACTTATGGCATCGTTTCGCTACAGAGCGAAACTTTATCATAACTTTTTTTCTGCACCTATGTTCTTTATTACTGTGGGCAGTATTCTGCTGTATTAACCTTAAGAAGTATGTGTAAAAAGTTATTAGTGGCATCTGTTGTTGTTATGGTGTTCCTCCTGTCAAGTTAGAATAATATTCTCCAGTTATTCTGATTAATATCTTTCAAAGCTTCATTAGAGTTTTCGCTTGCATTTGCACCTGTCTTCAAGCCTCTTTTGGATACATCTGTTCATACCTCTAGTTTACCAGTATGGGTAGTTTTTTAATTTATATTTTCACTGTAGACAGAGATGAAATAGCATTTACTGGGACAACGTCTTGGTGAAGCTCTACACAGAGCGAAACGCTGTCACAATATTTTATTTTTTTGCAACCTGAGTCTTGGTGTTCACTCCTATTAATTTTCTTAATTAAATTTCAGAATTTTGTTATGTCTTCAAGAAGTTATTTGTGGTTTTTCTGGGTCTTAAAAAACATTTATAAATTTTTTAAATACAAATGTTCATATATATATATATATATATATATATATATATTTATATATATATATATATATATATATATATATATATATACGTAATGAGTTTATATTAAAATACGTTTGGTCTCCACAGTCACAGTTCCAGATTCGATACTCTCCGATGATACGAAGTATTCTTAAAGAAGTCAGAAGATTTCAAAAGCAAAGAAGGTGAGTGAGATGATGTCAGTTTGTTGCTTTATTAGGTTTAAAGACTATCGATTACACGAGGGTCATTAAGGCTGCGCGTCACTTGTACAGGTCAAGGATGCTTTAGTCCCAGATATAAGGGTTAAAGTAAGGTCTAAATGTATATATACTGAGATATAAACTCCTCCTTGTACATGTATATTCACTGCTGCTCTCAGTGCAGACACATCAACAGAGAGAGAGAGATGTACTCTTCAGATAACACACAAAGTAATATCAACTGACTGTTTTACCTTCAAAAATTCAAATTTTACATTAATGCATGCAATAGAGGCTTACTTTTTATATAAATAACTCAGCATGTTCTCATTTACCCGTTTGCATCGCCTCATTTCCTCTCTCCAAATCTATAAAAAAGAAAATTCAAACTGTTGCTGAATTCAATTTCCAATCAGTCTGCAGCGGCGCACACGCTCGCTTACCCGTGGAGACACAGTGGAAGGTGACAATGGTTACTACCTCAGTGAGAGCAGGTAATATCTCCTCACAGCAGGGTAACATATTACAATTTTTTTGAGCTGCCTCATCCACTTGTATCATACCTAGTTGCACAGGGATAGAAATAAAGATGCCAGAAGATATAATATTACCAAGACAACAGCAAAACGAAGCATTTGCCTGGCTAACATTTCGCTCTTTTGTGAGCTAAACGTTGTTCAAAAGAAATGCTTGTTGTGTTATGTGTCCTTGTCTACCATACCTGTACTGTACTGCAAATATCTGCCAAGTAGTGTCGGCAGAAAAAGCATTCAGAGTATGATTAAAGTTTATGAAAGTAAAGTTAATCCTTTATCGTTATTCTGAAAATACAGAGATTATACGAGTTTAGATAACTTGAATTTAGTAAAACTTCTTTGCTAGCATTTAAAATATTAAATGTCATTAGCAATGTATAAATTTTATGATCGTCCTCTGATGTTTTGTGGTGCCTGAGTGTAAACACCTGCAGTGTCGCAGTCCTAATTACAGGATCCTAGTGGAATACTGGGAAGAATAGTGAAGAAAAGACACGTGTTGCAGAACAGCTGTTATTGGGAACAACGTTTCGCTCTAATCATAGCGAAACATTGTCCCGGCGTGCATCTTCTCTTCGCTATCCCATTTAAATATTTTTGTGACCCCTTACACGTTTCAGGAGCTGCTATCAGTAGAGCTCGAAATAGTATAGCACTGTTTACATATTTTGTTTAGGAATGTAGACACATGTATTCTTTCGATCCTCAGCTTTCAAGAGGCTAATAAAACAAGCGTCGTCCGTGCCCACCTTGTCCTTAGACAGGAACTACGTCACTTCGATTGAGTCAGAAGAAAAGATTTTACCAGATGAGGAGTTGTTTCTGGCACTCAAAAGAAACCTTCAGATTCCTCATATCCCAAAGAAAAAAAAAATCCCACACGTGGGTTAAACAGGTTTTTAGGCATAAGTAATTAATAGTAGCCATAAATAGTATTTTATTAGTACACTATATCTTGTTTGTGAATGGTGCTCATAGATAGAATAATGGTGCTCATAGATAGAATAATGGTGCTCATAGATAACACAATGGTGTCCCTAGAAAAATATATCATAGCACACTGGGTGTTTTTACTTATTTTTTTTTAATGCTCGAAAGTCAAATCTTCAAAGATTTCCTCATAGTACTAGATTACAGTAGATAAGTTCAGCAAGATTATGACGAATAGATGTTTTTGAGGGAAATGAAATTTTCATCTTTTTATATATATATATATATATATATATATATATATATATATATTATATATATATATATATATATATATATATATATATATATATTATATATCAAATTGGGGAGGAGGAGTATGGAAGAAGTGAATGTTTTCAGATATTTGGGAGTTGACGTGTCGGCGGATGGATTTATGAAGGATGAGGTTAATCATAGAATTGATGAAGGAAAAAAGGTGAGTCGTGCATTGAGGTATATGTGGAGGCAAAAAATGTTATCTATGGAGGCAAAGAAGGGAATATATGAAAGTATAGTAGCACCAACACTCTTATATGGGTGTGAAGCTTGGGTTGTAAATGCTGCAGCGAGGAGGCGGTTGGAGGCAGTGGAGATGTCCTGTCTAAGGGCAATGTGTGGTGTAAATATTATGCAGAAAATTCGGAGTGTGGAAATTAGAAGGTGTGGTGTTAATAAAAGTATTAGTCAGAGGGCTGAAGAGGGTTTGTTGAGGTAGTTTGGTCATTTAGAGAGAATGGATCAAAGTAAAATGACATGGAGAGTGTATAAATCTGTAGGGGAAGGAAGGCGGGGTAGGGGTCGTCCTCGAAAAGGATGGAGGGAGGTGGTAAAGGAGGTGTTGTGGGCGAGGGGTTTGGACTTCCCGCAAGCGTGCGTGAGCGTGTTAGATAGGAGTGAATGGAGACAAATGGTATTTGGGACCTGACGATCTGTTAGAGTGTGAGCAGGGTAATATTTAGTGAAGGGATTCAGGGAAACCGGTTATTTTATATAACCGGACTTGAGTCCTGGAAATGGGAAGTACAATGCCTGCACTCTAAAGGAGGGGTTTGGGATATTGGCAGTTTGGAGGGATATAGTGTGTATTTTTATACGCATATACTTCTAAACTGTTGTATTCTGGGCACCTCTGCAAAAACAGTGATTATGTGTGAGTGAGGTGAAAGTGTTGAATGATGATGAAAGTATTTTCTTTTTGGGGATTTTCTTTCTTTTTGGGTCACCCTGCCTCGGTGGGAGACGGCCGACTTGTTAAAAAAAACTATATATATATATATATATATATATATTATATATATATATATATATATATATATATATATAAATATATATATTATATATATATATATATATATATATATATATATATATATATACATATACACTGTTGGATGTACAATACCGTGTTTACCTTCTGTTATGTTACTATGTACGATAATTATACTCACGAGTACCTGTACCCGCCGGGTTCGATTCCCGGCGGGTGGAAACATTCGACACGTTTCCTTACACCTGTTGTCCTGTTCACCTAGCAGCAAATAGGTACCTGGGTGTTGGTCGACTGGTGTGGGTCGCATCCTGGGGGACAAGATTAAGGACCCCAATGGAAATAAGTTAGACAGTCCTCAATGACGCACTGACTTTCTTGGGTTATCCTGGGTGGCTAACCCTCCGGGGTTAAAAATCCGAACGAAATCTTATCTTATCTTACCTAAATAAACTTACAGTGAAGAAGAATAGTATACATGACATTGTACAAGAGATAGACATGGGGACTTAGCTGCCAGTACAGGAAGTAGACGCAGTGTATGTATATAGAGCAACTTTAACCTAGCATTTGTTGTTGTTATTGTTTTTACTACAATGTTCATTTTCAGTTCGCCTTTCATGGATTAAAGTGTATATAACACTACACATATTGCCACATTTTACGGCTGTTGAATAACGACACGTAATCATTTCAAGCAAGCAACTAGCCTAAGGCTACTGATAGACGAAATGTGCTGATTAACCTGCAATGCTCTTGCTTGTATCTGACAAGGCTTCTTAGTCAGGTTTGTGTACACATACACTCAAGTTCAGTCTGTCGTCAAACACTCGTTTTCTGTTCTCTTGGAGCAAAGGAAACGAATTCGCTTTTCGCTGGGAGACCTAAACAAATTAGGTGCACTCTAAACAGTTCCGTTCATCCTCCCACTTCTCTCCCCCCCCCCCCCACACACACACACATTCACATGATTTCCTCATGTTTGATGGCCTTTATCCTGAAGTCATCTGTGAGGTTCTGTTACAGGACTGAGAGCAATTATTTTAGCTCAACTGTTTGTGACAAACGGATATAAATGAACTCATTAGACTGTCGTTTTCAAACTCATTTACCAAATTGTTTCTAGTTAGACCATTGCCGCGCTGTATGGCCCTTGCGCGTTTAGCTCTTAGTTTTGAAATAATAATAATAATAATAATAATAATAATAATAATAATAATAATAATAATAATAATAAAACACTTGTAAGTGACTGGCTCAGTAAAGTCTGCTTGTATTGTTTGATGACCCTAGTGGGTTTAGCGCTTCTTTTTGATTATAATAATTGACTTGTGTGAGCTTGCACACAGCTTTTGCAGACGAAAATCAACACTCAACAGCTTTAAAGTACTGTAGTAATAATGCTCTTTGCCACTTAGACTTTTACTCTGCTTCTTCCGTAATAAACGAAGGTTCCAGTAGAGGAATTTTGATACGAAAAATTAAATTTCTTAGATTTAAGTAAAAAAGATTTCTTGCTTCATTACATACACAAAAAAAAGTTGAGATTAACGTAGTTTGTCAACAGTTGTAGAGAATTATAACAAACGTGATCATTGCCCGCAGTAATAAGTGTTGATTATTTCACCATTGTGATTCAGGATCTACATCCAGACATTAACAGTTTAAGAATATATAAAGAAAGGTTAGTAGGGAAGGTCGCTTAAGCAGTTAGCACCAACGAATGACCAGAGCACAGCCCAATTACAACTGTTCAGGATTCGAAGGTTCACTGCCGATGGTAATTAAGAAAGTACACAGGTGCAAAGCATTTACTGTGATGACGTTTCGCACTGTGTTTAAACTCTGTGTATATCACTGGCATTGCATTCCAACTTGTAAATAAGTCCCAATATGCTGCTTATGGCATTTTATTGACAAGACATTTCGTCCACTAGTGACGGGTGGAGAATTGATAAAGTCCCCGATGGGCGAAAAGTCTACTCAATAAAATACCATAAACTACATAGAGCAAATCAGTGTTTTACGTAAATGCTTACTCAACACCTGCGTCATTTTCTGTAACTGCCCCGTTCCCGGGCACCTGTTCATTCAGCTGACCTTTTTGTGTATCCTGATAGATCTGAAGTTCATGATGACCGGGAGGAGGAATGGCCCTATAGGGACCAGGTAATGTTTGTATCATATACAGTAGTAGTTTCTACATGCAGAATGTATGACCAGGTAATGAGTGAATTACACGATAGTGCTTCCATTTGCAGACTAATGGTTAATTTATGATTGTATTATACAATAGTAGTGGTGTATTTTTAGGCAGTTCTGGAAAGTTTGCAATTTTTCTTGTTCTTGTAGCAGACGATTGTAATTTCTTCCGAGCTGCTATCTGATCCTTTATCTAAATGCTTGTAGTTATTGGAGCATCAATGAACATCTGTCAATAAGAGAAAACAAACTCACACTGAGAAGACTACAACAGCAAAAAAAAAGTGTCATTTCTCTTTATTTCAACCTGAGGAGGGCCTGAACTGGAGTCGAAATCTACAACTATTCCTCTAGTGTTGTGTCTACATGTGGGATATCTTCTCTCACCTAGTTGTAGTCACCTGGTTTTTACCACGTGACTACCTGATTGTAGCTACCTGGCTGCAGTAACTTGGTTGTAGCCACCTGGCTGCAGTCACCTGGTTGTAGCCACCTGGCTGCAGTCACCTGGTTGTAGCCACCTGGCTGCAGTTATCTGGTTGTAGCCAGCCACCTGGCTGCAGTCACCTGGTTGTACCCACCTGGCTGCAGCTATCTGGTTGCTCTCATCTAGATGTGTTAATTTCTCCAACGCTTGTAATTTAAGGGTGAGAAGCTTATGTAACTTTATTTCTAATTCTGGTGAGAGATAAGTTCAGAAGTGTGTAAATACAGGTTTTATAGCTCTCCAAATCTCCCAGGGGGATTCACTCCATGTTCTCTTTCAGCGTGGAACGTGGGTTTAATCTGTCAGAGAGGTGAAGGGATGTTTTATATCCTAGCATGAAGCTTAGGTTTAATTTCTAGAGGGGGTTCTCTCCCTCTATACTGAGCTTTGGTTTAATCTCTAACTGGGATTCTTTTTTAGGATTGAACTCTGGTTTAACCTCTCATTGGGATTCTCTCAAAGTAAGATCTGTTTTAATCATTCGGTGGGGCTCTGTCTCAGTTTGCAGCTCTGGTTAAATCCTTCCGGGGATTATCTCTCAGCTCTGGTTGAATTTCTCAGGAATGGATTAGGTATCAGTATGGTACACTCATTTAATCCAGGATTCTTAACCTTAATTGGGTTAGCTCAGTTTCACGATCACTGTGTATATAAATCATACGTAAATGATATCTTGTGCAATTGGATCAGTCAGAGTGCACACGTCAGTATACCTGCAAGGGGAAAACGTCGTATTTTTTTTTTTTTAGCTGAAAGGTTCCATAATATTTCATGTCTCATTTGCCATACACAGTTTACGGTAGTTGGGTTAGGTAGCGCGTCGATCTTTTTTTTAGTGGCCAGAGGATCGAGCCTTTGAAGCTCCTCGGGCTAAATGGGCTTACAGTTTGACAGTAATAATAATCATAGGAAGAAGAAGAGGAAGAAGAATGTACCCAGAACTCCCTCTCTCTTTTACTTTAGGATTTTTCCGGTACATGTTCCTCTACTTCTCCCGTGCAGAATTTTTGTTTAATACCTAAGTACTCAAGGCTCCTTCTCTCTCACAATTACCAATTACAATCCTGTCAAGAATAAAGAATGTAAAATACAGTATCTTGGCTAGAACAAGGAACAAACAGCCCCACATTATAGACGACATCTCGATCTGTTCCATGTAATTATCAAGTCAAAATCGACTTGATAATGATCATTATCAAGTCAAAATCGACTTGATAATGATCCAGGAAGAGCTGACACGTCGTCTAAATTTTCTTCTCCAAAGTGTGAATTATTTCACCTGTCATGTTTCCTTGTTTTAAAAAGATGGAAACATCTCTGAAGTATTTCTCCTACTATGTACAGATATTGCTTCATCTCTCTACTCCCATGTATGCTATACTTTCCCCTGCAATTCTCTCTCATTAAACTAATAAAAGTCAAAATACCGAGGCTAGAGCAATTCACAACTATCCCACGTCCCTGTTCGTCTTGGACGAATATGAGGTTTCGATTCGACATTGGTCCAGGAAGAACTGGAACCTGGATTAGTTGTGGAGTGCAACATGTCTTTTCCTGCCCAGAGTAAGGTCTTAGTAAGCTAGTACTCTCGTATTAGCTAAATTTTTTAGTAAACTAACCTCGGAAATAATCTAGTATTAACTCTTTGCGTCTCAGGAATTTATAGCGAGTAGTATACTATACATATTCCAGAGTTAGATACTCTGAATAAAGTCATATACATAGTAATTATAATAGTTAGAGTAGCATAGAGCTTGCAGAATAATTCTACAGATTTGCTTGTATGTGTATCTTTGTCAGTGGTTTAGCCACGTCAAATTCAAGACAAAAAAAATTGATTATTCCTTAACTAAAATTTTTATTGAACTACTTAATGGAAACGTAGTCTTATCTACGTAAGATGTAGCAGAATAATTCCACTACAATATTGACCTGAAGTAAGAAGTTTAGTCTCGTTATTTCACAGTTAATTTTATTGAATAATCATCAATGGACTGTCCTATTTTTTTCGTGTTTTATAATTAAAAATATTATGTTTTGGTTATACAAACAAAATTTACATGTTATCTTATCCCTTTAAGGTACAGTTGTGATGCCAAAAAAATGGAATTCCTTTTGCTAATAGAGAAAATAAATATTTGTACTTTTGTTTACTGAGTGATTTTTACCTGATTGCTAATATCTCAGACGTGGGAGACGGGGAGGAGGCACAGCATCAGGCGGTGAGGGAGGCGGGGACACCCCCACCAGCAGCGAGGCCTCAGCCAGTGGTGGTGGAGGTGGGGACGACAGCATGCCTCCCACCTCGGCTTACAACACTCCTACAGCTTCACTAGCTGCTCTTTCATCGCCTACCTCCGATGTGACTCCTTCCCCAGAGGTAAGACGGAATCCTCGTAAAAATTTTCTCTCTTGCAGGAATGCTGAACTTTTCGTCTTGCTTCTTGAACATGTAAGATGACTGATAATAATTCTGACCAACTTCTACTTATATTCAGTATACAATTATTACCCTCCCGTCTGTTAATAATTCATTTTTAATCCTGTAATATTTCACATTGAATTTAGAAGACTTGGCCTGAACTCGGATCACAGGGGCGATGTTACCAAGAACCATTAATAGATATATAGTAGATATGTATTTTCGATGCAATATTCCCTTTTTACAAGACACCGGCCGTATCCCACCGAGGCAGAGTGACCTAAAAGGGAAAACGAAAGTTTTCCTTTTTAAATTTAGCAATTTATACAGGAGAATGGTTACTAGCCCCTTCCCTCACCAAGCTGTTGGTTAGTTGTGATTGATTATATATCATTTAGGCTCGACAGTGTTCTGTGTGGACGCTTGCTGGAAATATTATCAAATAGCCAAGTAACCCTCTCAGTTTACCTGACTGATAATGTAGAGTGTTCAGAGATGTGACCGTTTACCTCTGATCTTAACAGTGACACCTAAATCTGTAATCGATGCACTTTACCTGCCATAATCTAAAGAAACTGACTCATCAGGTGCTGTCCCATTTTTTCAAAGTCCATTAAATTAAAGTCGATTAAATTGAAGGCTATTAAACCAGTCAATTAAATCAAAGTCCGTAAAACTGAAGTACATCATTTTTAGCTATGTCATATCTTTTCTTATATTATGGCACTTTTTTGTAGAGATACACTTGTACTTTGAGTGTGTGTATTAATATCTGTCTATTACTCTTGACAAATTAGGGCCTCACGCTTGTCAATATGTCTCATAGATCACCATAATTTTTTAGTATCACAAATTTTCGCTCAGAGGGAACTTTATCACGTTTTATAGTTTAATTCCCTGATAAAGTTCCCATTGAGTGAAACATTGCTGTAGTAAATACTGATGTTATTTTGCTCGCTTTGAGGGAGACAGCGTCTTAAAGACGCGTCTTAAAGACGCGTCTAAAAGACGCTGTCTTGTGTGACCATATCTTAGTTCCATTGTGTCTTCTACATCGCTTTATCCTTTTCTTCTTGGTTCAGTATTTTAGATAACTCATCAGCAGGTGTACACCTTCAATTTTAGTTGTAAAATAAGGCACTTCGGTTAAGTATGTTAATGTATTTCTTTTGCGAACTTGACGGGTTTAAAAGCCCTTGTGTCTCAATTCAAAATAAACCTCGTTTTAGGGAATTTATTACCATAGTACAGTACGTGGAATAAGAGAAATAATTACAATTAGTGAGCCATGCTCGACCTGACTTGAAATGGAAGAGTTTGGAAATCACTGAAAACTTGTTATTAAGACTGCTTAATTTATTATAATCCTAGGGAAACGCAAAATCCGTAGGGGTATACAGCTACTGGGAAATTGGAGATAATCAGGTTTGATTTCTTCGATCAAGAGCCCTTCACCATCAAGGACCCCATCTTCAAGGGGTAATTGGAAGGTGATAATTGTAAAGAAGCACTTAATTGCACTTAAGTACACATCATTTAACACACTAACCATTCTTCTCCTGTGAAAGAAGAAAATCTTGGCCTTAGTCGGGGCTGCGAGGGTAGAAAAACTCTTGAAACTGACAACAGGTGTGCCACAGGTATATAGAATTTTCATCACCAAATGCTGAAGGCTACTCTCTCTCCCTCTCTCTGATGCCGATTATCATTCTATATACCGGATTACAAACAGCCTAAATCAGTCAAAGAGCCACGAGCAATTAGCAAACTGTGGATCAAAGCTTCACTATTCCTTGTGTAGAGTAACCAACACGAGTTTACCATTTCATGAATTACAATCGAAAGCTGTTTATCATTTGCAGTGTAAAATAGCATTCAGTTGAGTCAGTACTGGGTTCTCCATTCCCATGTGTATCAGTCTCGGCTCCATTGATAGCTGTCATGGCAGACCACACTGCATATGTGACGTCCGTAGGAAGTATTTTTTATAGTAGGATTTTACTACCCGTTTACTTGTTGGTCTAAGTATACATCATCTCCTGCATCAGTGGGTATTAGTAGAGAGCAAGACTTCATCCCATACACCTCTCAGTGTTACACCTCTCAGTGTTACACCTCTCAGTGTTACACCTCTCAGTGTTACACCTCTCAGTGTTACACCTCTCAGAGTTACACTTCTGTGAAGAAACAAACGATGGCTTTTGCTGCACTATTGTGACTCCACATTTACGTAATTAATCACTGATGTTTTTTTATTATATCACATTAATATTTTTTTAATGAGAAGCTTTATTTTCGAGTAGACTAAATTGGTAGATATTTCAAGATTACTCTCCAAGTAATCTGTATGCTGAGTAAATTCCACTGGTAGTTAAATCATGTTAAATTTCCATCGTACTCACCTAGTTGTATTTACAAAGATCTGTGTATTAAAATACACAGTTTCATTCTATCTTGTAGTTTTAGTCTCAATATATTTCACCCTTCAGTAAATGCTTGTGTTAGTTGCTTGATGGTATGTCTTTGCAGCACCCTGCACACCGCCTCCTGGAGGTGTCCTCGCCCCAGCGTCAGCACCCCAGCACATGCCAGGATGTGTTCCACACACCGCCACACACGCCGCCCACACCTCAAAATCACCCAATTAGAGCCAACCACATCAGCCAGGCCCACAACGACCGCCCACTTACAACGACGCATTATCCGCCCAGAGACTCACGCAGCGCGCATTGGTCAAACTCGCCCCATGTGACCCAGAATGGTCATGTTGGGAAGCGAGGAGAGCCATGGACGTGACAAAACAGCAGTTACTGCGTGCCAGTTACCCTTCACTCACTGGTTGTACTCCTTCCATGGCTCCCTTTCCAATAGTCACATCTCAGCACTTTTTTACTTAGCTTTTTTTTCAACTGTGGGTTTAGTGAAAAAAAATGAGAGTATTTTATTAATTTTCCAGGGCATCCGCTAGAAGCTGGACACCCCAGGCCGTTTCCTCGCTCACTGATGGTTAAAGAGTGTTTGCTAACACCACTTAGGTGATACTGACTCTTCTCGGAGATTGGGTGAACCCAACAGCAGAAAAGCTACTAATTTTTTTATTATGTTTGTGATTCAGTTGAAAAACTAGGAATATGTCAAGCAGGACTTCACTCTTATGGTGATTGTACAATGCAAACATTTGGACCTATTGTGGAAATTCCTAGAATAGAGAGAACTATTTGGTGAGCCAAGAGCAGGACCGCTGGAGAGGTGAGGCAGCCAGCTACCTGGAGTATACCTGGAGGGTGTTCCGGGGGTCAGCGCCCCTACAGCTCAGTCCTTGATAAGGTCTCACCTCTCTGCCCACCTTCACAAGATCTTCGTGCAATTGTTGCATCACTGCTTCCACGATATTCAACATCACAGCACACTACCATGTGGAGTGCTGTGCAGATACTGCTGCTGCTGTTGTATGACAGCACCCTGAGTGCTGTTCCAGTGCTGCCAACTGTTTTGGTCCTTCAAGGTGCCAGAACATTTCTGTCCAAAACTTATTACTGTTTACTAAGTTTCTTGTCATCTTTGTACCTCATACATTCTACTCAAATAATTGCAATAATAACTAATACTTATGTTTATATACTAAACTGTATTTAAAACAGCACTGTGTGATGAGCCAGAAATTTATATGCTGCAGTCTAGTGTATTTTCCCTGTATTGTAGAGAGCTAAATATTATAAAAAATTATTAAAATATTCACCACAAGACTTAGCACAAGCTCTAGTGTCTTGCTTGTTTCTATAAGTCAGCTGACCTATATTGGTAAAAATTAATAGTCTAAAATAATCTAAAATAGAGGGGATTTAATTTGAGGTTTTCACTTTTTAGTCTCAGGTGACTAATGATAAACTTTTTAGTCTCAGGTGACTAATGATAAACTTTTTAGTCTCAGGTGACTAATGATAAACTTTTTAGTCTCAGGTGACTAATGATAAACTTTTTAGTCTCAGGTGACTAATGATAAACTTTTTAGTCTCAGGTGACTAATGATAAACTTTTTAGCCTCAGGTGACTAATGATAAACTTTCAGAGGTTTAGATAATATTTTCCTGTATCATCAGAGTGAAAAGCAAATTCACAGGAGCACAGAGAGGAAATTCGTCACCAGGAGCTGAAAAAGAATTCTTTAATCTAAAACAGGATTTATTTCTTGCCCAACGTGATAAAATTTCCACAAAATTACGCTGCATTTCTCGAATGAGACGAAGTAATTGAAGAGATACTGCTTAGTTAATAAAAGATGGAGGGACATTCATGAATACCACATTAAGTAAAAAAGTCTTATACATGTTTCATATAAGCTTATATATTATTGTACCCACGAAACGAGTGTTATAAATCAATAACAACACTGCACTAGCCAAGAGTCGAACCCATGCTGTTTTGGCCCGCCTCATGGTGAAAGAAAACGCATGACGCTTTAGACCACTAGACCACACAATCCTAGCTTGGCTGGATGCGCCATTGTTAAGGATTGTGTGGTCTAGTGGTCTAAAGCATCATGGGTTTTCGCTCATCATGAGGCAGGCCAAAACAGCATGAGTTCGACTCCTTGGCTAGTGCAGTGTTGTTATTGATTAGCTTTTACGCTTATATTATGGGTTTTGAGAGTTTTATCATCGTCAAGGGACATTTGAAGTCATCATTTGTTGCTGAAGTTGTCTTCTTCCTCATTAATAGTTTTCCTCTGTCCTTTGTGCAGGTTATTTGTGAAATTATTACATATTTATTACATCTTTTCTAGAATAAACAAAAGACAAAAAGAAAAAGGACATTTTTAATATGAGATGGGTTATTGTTGACACAGTTATTATTGGTATAAATACAACTGAATTATCTTCACATTAAATACAACAAGACAGATAAGTTCATTATCATAAATACATCAATAATATTGAGGTCTAAAAGCTTTTAGATAATTTTTTTTTAGTCTGAGTATACCTGGAGTATACCTGGAGTATACCTGGAGTATACCTGGATTATACCTGAAGTATACCTGGAGTATACCTGGAGTATACCTGGAGTATACCTGGAGTATACCTGGATTATATCTGAAGTATACCTGGAGTATACCTGGAGTATACCTGGAGTATACCTGGATTATACCTGCAGTATACCTGGATTATACCTGGAGTATACCTGGATTATACCTGAAGTATACCTGGAGTATACCTGGAGTATACCTGGAGTATACCTGGATTATACCTGAAGTATACCTGGAGTATACCTGGAGTATACCTGGAGTATACTGAGTATACCTGGATTATACCTGGAGTATACCTGGAGTATACCTGGAGTATACCTGGATTATACCTGAAGTATACCTGGAGTATACCTGGAGTATACCTGGAGTATACCTGGATTATACCTGAAGTATACCTGGAGTATACCTGGAGTATACCTGGAGTATACCTGGAGTATACCTGGAGTATACCTGGAGTATACCTGGATTATACCTGGAGTATACCTGGATTATACCTGGAGTATACCTGGATTATACCTGAAGTATACCTGGAGTATACCTGGAGTATACCTGGAGTATACCTGGAGTATACCTGGATTATACCTGAAGTATACCTGAAGTATACCTGGAGTATACCTGGAGTATACCTGGAGTATACCTGGATTATACCTGGAGTATACCTGGATTATACCTGAAGTATACCTGGAGTATACCTGGAGTATACCTGGAGTATACCTGGATTATACCTGGAGTATACCTGAAATATACCTGGAGTATACCTGGATTATACCTGGAGTATACCTGGAGTATACCTGGAGTATACCTGGATTATACCTGGAGTATACCTGGATTATACCTGAAGTATACCTGGAGTATACCTGGAGTATACCTGAAGTATACCTGGGTATACCTGGAGTATACCTGGAGTATACCTGGAGTATACCTGGATTATACCTGAAGTATACCTGGAGTATACCTGGAGTATACCTGGAGTATACCTGGATTATACCTGAATATAACCTGGATATACCTGAAGTATACCTGGAGTATACCTGGAGTATACCTGAGTATACCTGAGAACTGATATACCTGGAGTATACCTGGATTATACCTGAAGTATACCTGGAGTATACCTGGAGTATACCTGAAGTATACCTGGAGTATACCTGAAGTATACCTGGAGTATACCTGGAGTATACCTGGAGAGAGTTTACGGGGTCACCGCCCCTGCGGCCCGGCCTGTCAAAAGCTATAATTATTCGCTATATTGTTATCTGTACAAAATATGAAAAAAATATTTTTATTTACATTTTTTATTAAAAAATGTTAAGAAAAATCTTACTTATACACGTTATACACAGTGAGAAGTGTATGTTAAATATTACACAAGCCTTTATAAAATAAGTTTATTTTTGTTGTATTTAGCGTGACGACATCAATACACTGCTGTTCTGTAACTTCGTAAGAACATAAGACTGGAGGAGCACTGTGATAAGCCTACTGGCCCAAACATGAACATTGCATCAACAACACTACCGGAACAAATGTAGAAGTTTTCAAGGTGAAACTTGACAAGTGCCGGATAAACTAGGTTGTGGTTGATACGAGGGCATGCTGGCCGCCAGCAGCAACAACCTGGTTGACCAGGCAAGCACCAGACAAGCCTGGTCCAGGTTCGGGCTCAGGAAGCAGGAAAACTCTGGAAATACATCAAAGATATATCAGAGATGAAACAGAACAAAAAGTAGGATACACGCTTTGAAGGGCCGATTTTTTGAGGTGTATAATCAAAGCGAGTATTGCAACTTTTCAAATTTTCAGCCCTAAAGAGTTTTGAGGAAAATCTCTAAGTGTTCCATGAGTAACCAACAGAAATCACTATGTCCAACATTGTCTGCAGATTATACTTAATTTTCTCTCTACTACTGTACTGTCCGACAGTAGCAAAATTCACTGACCTTCCCCAATTGCTGTAGAAGTCAAAATATCTGTAACTTGGTCCGGAAAAGACACTAAAGTCTTGTTAAATCTTGTGGATTGTGAATGTAGTTCATCCACTTCACTTTAGCTCAAGGGTTTTGTAAAAAAAAAATTAAACACTATGCAATTATTTCATATTATGCTTATAGAGCTCCATAGCTTTTGACTTATTTAGAGAAAGTTCATCATGTAGGATATGCATTAGTAATGTTTCAAGGGAGAAACATAGCAACTTGTGCACTGTATAGTGTATCGCCATAGAAGGAAGCAGTCAGGTTATTTTCTAGTTTATTTGTAGTGGTACAGGTATTTATGTGGTCTATGCATATCACGAGTTCATATTTTAGAGACTTACTCAGTCATTTCTTCCTTAGAAAGGACTCCAGACTGAGTGTGCAATTATTCACAATATGAAGTACTAAATTTTAACTGGAGGGGCTTCATTATAATATTGTTTAAGCAGTCACATGGAAATATAAACACATAAGAAGTATTATGTGATCCTTCACTGACAGCGTTTCGCCCATGCAGTGGGCTTCATCAAGTCACAAACAGATCTGTTTGTAACTTGATAAAGCCGATTAACCCACTGGTGAGCGAAACGTTGTCAATAAAGGATCACATTATGCTACTTATTTATATTTCCATTGTGTCGCTATTATATACCATATATTTCCAAGCAATCACATGTTTATATGGGATCTCCAGAATAAAGTAAAAAGTATAAGGAAAGGGTCATTTTTTAATTTAAGATAGATTACTGTTGACACAGTTACAATTGCTACAGCTGAATCATCTTCACATAAAGTTTCACAAGACAGACAGGTTCATTAGCACAAGCACAGCACTAAAACTATGATCTATAAACACGTCGGCAAGTGTGCTTTAGTTTGAGTATTCGGCTATAATCGTTGTTTCTCCAAAACAAACCAAGAAATAAATATATAATTTTGAAGTGTATGGATTTTTAATTAAAATATGTGGTGAAAACTCTTACTTACATTACATAGGTCAAATGAGAATATGTATGTTAAATATTCCACAAATATTTGTGCTCAAAGTAACGATGTCAGTACACTGATGTACTGCAATTTTCATAACTGAAGGTGAGTTACCTAGGCTTGCTGAGGATTATGATGGGCCCCAGGTAAGTCAAACTTTTACCCCAGCCTCCCAGATAAGTCAGATTTGTACCCCAGCCTCCCAGGTAAGTCAAACTTGTACCCTAGCCTCCCAGGTAAGTCAAACTTGTACCCTAGCCTCCCAGGTAAGTCAGACTTGTACCCCAGCCTCCCAGGTAAGTCAAACCTGTGCTCTAGCCTCCCAGGTAAGTCAAATTTTTACCCCCAGCTTCCCAGGTAAGTCAAACCTGTACCTCCAGCGCCCAGGTAAGTCAAACTTGTGCCCCCAGCTTCCCAGGTAAGTCAAACTTATACCCCCAGCGCCCCAGGTAAGTGAGACTTGTACCCCCAACCTCCCAGGTAAGTCAGACTTGTACCCCAGATTCAGTGTTGTATTAGTAACCATTTCATTCATAAACTATACAAGGAAATTCTCCCACATGTTTTCTTTCTTACTGATGTGCAACGTATTCATTATAATTTTGTTCACTGTTGATAGACTTAAAACTTTACTCTCGGCCTCCTGCCAGGGTCATAGATCCCAGATATTTTTTTTTTTTAGCCGTCCTGCCCTGTCGATGGCTACGGAATAGACAGACTTTCCTCACACTAGCACGAGATTTCTAACTTCTCACATCTGCTTCTGGCCGTAATTACGTAATGTAAGACCAAGGTAGGAATATGAAGCACAATTTAACTTAACTACAAGTTACTGTGAAGAGAATATTGGACATTGTAAGTTGAAAAGCTAATACTTGAATAAAAGGGTATAAATGGATAGAGGTGATGGATGAAGCGACACACTACACACTAACAAAACACGACAACAGAAACATAAACACACACACACACACACACACACACACACACACACACACACACACACAACTACACACACATAACCACAAACCATATATACATACATACATATATATATATATATATATATATATATATATATATATATATATATATATTATATATATATATATATATATATATATATATATTGTTGCTAGTACAAATTCAAATCATTACAGTTTGATTTGAACTGATTCAGATTTTTTGTAGGAAAATTGCTACGTTCTTGCAGTTTTTTTTTTTTTTAATAATTCAGAATTTCTGCTTACTAAAGATGTGATCAGTGACCATTCTTTTGTTTTGAAGAAATTATTTACACTCAGCAGTTTCATGTTCGTGAAGCTGCATGTGATCAGCAGTGCTGATCCAGTAAAGCTGTGAGAGAGTTAGCTTCGTCAGCAAAAAGCCGTAACTGAGCAGCTCAGACCATG